AACTTTCACGGGGCCGTACGAGTTACCCGCGAGTACGGGAAGGCTGAATTTAAATTTGCCGCGTCATCCGTTGACGGGGAACATTCTACCAAAATTTCAGCCGCCTAGCTTTTGTGGTTCCCGAGTTGAAAGTGTGGGACAAGATGTGGGACACACACACAGACAACGCCGTGATAGTATGCGTTTTGTAACGCTGTTGCACAGCACAAAACGCATGAAAACGTATAATCGCAACGGCAAGCCTGGTGCGTTCCAGCCTGGGTTGAAATTTTCTCCCACGCACCCCTAGGTCTCGTGTATAGACACCTGAAAAAATTTATGTAAATTTTTTGAGGAGGAAAGGATTTTGAAAGCCAGATAAGGTGGGAAACTGAAACTTCATTTGAATGCATGTTCAGTGCCCTTATGTGAGCTGAAGATTTTAAATTTAGGTCGAACGTATGCGTTTGCCATATGTACGGACACATCAGAAACGTGACCTCTGCTTATGGGTGTGCCCCGCTCCGGGTGCGTCTAATGTTCAAGTTGCAATACCTTCGTTATCCTTTTCTTTGGTGACCATCCAGGCTGGAAAGTTATAAAATCACGAGACTGTCACCTGGTTCTGTGCGGGACAGAAATTTTAAAATCGGCTTCATTAAATGAATACGTTCTTCGCATGGGGACCCCAAACAGTGTTGCGCTATCGGCAAACCTGATCTCCTTCTTCTCTCTGCCCAGGGTAAGGCTAAATATGAACATTTGCAGTATTTGTTCATATATCAATGCCATCCATACTGGTAACGAACTTACTGCTGCACGAAAGCGCGCAAAAACGCATGATCATACCGACATTCCTAGTCGGCGTCAATTACAAGATAATGAATTCTAATGTGCCTTGACGAATTAAAAAAAGATATCATAAGATTTGGAGGTGCAGCCAGTTTGGATAGATCAGTAAGGAGCTCTTAAGATGCTTAGTACGAAATCCAAACATGGAACTGCTGACAGAGCAGTGTAAGTAAAGCTTCTAAGATTGAACATTGACAGGCATTACTCCCCAGTCGACTGGTGAAGGAAAACAAGCAGAGGGCAATGATTGCATTCACATGAAGTAACTTGAAAATTGCTGGCGTTGTTCTATGTTCTCTTGCGTTTGCACGGTGTATAAAGTGCTTTCAAACTGACCAGTTGTATTTTTAGAGTGAAGCTACAAGTGGCGCCAATGGCAGCAGTGGCACTGCTCCGAAGCGTGATTCACAGCTGCTGAAATGCTCAATCCGTTCCGCATTTCGTTCGTTTACTGTTTCTCGAAAGCCCACAAGTAGTCTTCTGTCGTTGCAATTTATCAAGGAGCGACGACGCGATAAAGTCTTCCATAAGCTTGGGATGAAGAAAGTTCAGGTGCTTTTTTGGGTGATGCTGGAGCACGAATCAATCAAGTCTCATCTTAATAAATGCTAACTCAGCGTCAGAATGAATGAGTTCGAGGACGTACACATTCTTCTGAAGATTCCATGTGTGTGTTTTTTCGCTTGTATGTATACATATGTATACGTGTGTATGTGCGTGTATGCATCTATGTATTTATGTGTATATATGTATGTATGTGTATATGTGTATATATATATATACGTATATATATCTGTATGTATATTTATATGTGTATATAACATATACATGTATGTGTATATATATGTACATATATGCACATGGGTGTATATATATATGTATATATATATATATATACATATATATACATATATACATATATGTATTCACGTATA